ACACATGTCCCTACTTACATAGGTTCCTACTTACATAGGTCCCTACTTACATAGGTCCCTACTTACACATGTCCTTACTTACATATGTCCCTACTTACATAGGTCCCTACTTACATAGGTCCCTACTTACACATGTCCCTACTTACATAGGTCCCACCTTACATATGTCCCTACTTACATAGGTTCCTACTTACATATGACCTAGGTTTATCTACTCCCGCTACAGCTATATCGCGGCAGACACGTTTACCCATATAGTGACCTACCTGTTAACTTACATGACCTAATGGTGACCTAATCATTGTTTGACGTATATAGTGTCCTAAATGTTGACATCCGTGTTGACCTAATTATTGGTCTGTATGGCGAACAATATGGTGACCTCCATGTTGACCTATAAGGTTGACCTCTATGTTATTGCCTTCCCCTGTTATTTGATAAAAAGCAGTGTGTTTACATGAAAACATTTGACATTCTACAACCAATACATGTGTGTGAGACAATTAAACATGTAACAGTAACGTCCCTTGACAAATGTTAACTTCAGTTATGTCCCTGGACACAGTGCGATAAGAGTTACCTTATATTTCGTTTTTTTCAGCCATTTTACCCCAGTTAATTTTTTTTTAACCTTGACCTTACCCACAGCCGATGAGCTAGGTAATTACTAGCGCGTCTAATTAGGTCTGAGTGCGTGATTGTATTGGATTTTCACGTTGGCTTGTAACTCACACATGGTGACCTTGACGCATTGACTATGTCGTGTTGACCTTGATATAATTATCATGATACCGTGACATTAGATATATTGAACTAGACAGGTTAAACATCGATCTCAACCGGCTGACCTTGATACTTTGCCCTCTGTCTTGATGACCTCGACCTTTGTTCTCTCCTACAGTGGAGCGATCCCAGGTGGTGGTGGACCGACCCTCCGACCCCCACCCCGGGCGGACTGTCAACATCCGGTTCCTTGACACGAGCGAGATGTTCCTTGACCCCTCAGTGGCCACCACCATACAGGACCAGGTTGACGCCCTCCACGCCAGCCTGTCCAACTACGTCATGATCGTCTATGATGTCACCGACCACGTGAGCCATTTTTTAAAAATAGTCTGGAATTCTAATATTTTTAAATGGGCATCCTTCATATTTCATGGAGAGTTTCACACATAGAAATCGGTAGTCAGTTTTGACATAACTTGCTTTTGAAAAAAAAATGTTCCCAAAACGAAAGTTAAAAAAATTTAATTACATAATTAACACTTGTAATTTACCTCAGAGGCGTAGCGATCCTTCCCGGGGAAAAACTTTCAATTTGCACCACCCACAAACTTTCGATTTGTTCCCCTCCTCTCAAACTTTCGATTTGCACACCCCTTCCTCAAACTTTCAATTTGCACCCCCCTCAAGCTATTTATAATTTGTTTTTTTCCAACACATTTTGGCGCCCGGGGACATATGTACCCCCCCTCGCTACGCCTCTGATTTACCTTTCATATTTATATCATCTGACATTATCATTAGTGCTTTAATATATTTATAACATTATTGTTTAATCGCTGTGGTTTTTCTCTTTATTCATAGTTTAAAATACATTTATGAAAAATGCATTAAGCACAGTTTAATTAACATCGATATTGTTAATACTAAACTTGAGCTCAAAATATATAAAACCTTGTACAATTTAAATATAAATAGTTAACTTTTAGGGCCGTATTTTAACCCCAGATTTTAATTGAGCTGTGTTTCCCCTCCTCCAGGCAAGTTTTCTGGAAGCCAAAGACTGGGTGAGACTGGTCAAGACGATGTTACTTGGCGCCTCCAGACTAGTGCTAGTGGGCAACAAGACAGACAACTCCAAGCAAAGGGAGGTGCACAGAACGGTGAGTTATTGCCCTTTGTTGTGCATCTATTTTATTTACATAGATCCGAAAAAGTGTTGTTCTAAAAATGTATAATGTGTAAGTACAAGATCAGCAAAGTTTGACAAGAAAGCACAGTCTTGTGTCTGTTAGGTAGTACTTATTGATGTAAAGTTGACCAGTTTCTCCATCACATCAGGTCAATGAACTTTCACTTTTTTTTTTCACCTTTTAGGCAGGTGAGGTGTTTGCTTACCTGAACAAGATGACGTTTATGGAGGTGTCAGCCAAAGATGACACTAACATACAGGCTCTCTTAAGTACATTCATCTAGCCCGGGGGTGGGCAGTTGTTTTTATTGGGGGGGGGGGACACGATACTTTGTCAACAAAGCTCGAATAGTTTCCTTAACCACCATTACATAGCCATCTGACATTGTAACCAGTTCCGCATGAATCATCTAACCATGACACATGTGACAGTGTAACCATGTAACCACTTCATTCTGTTAACCATGTAACCACTTGATTATGTGACATTGTAACCATGTAACCACTTAATTATGTGTGAACCATGTAACCATCTATCATTACTTGCCATATCATATGATATCTATACATACAATAAACACCTAAAGCTGAGAGGATTTTGTGCATTTTTTTTTCTCTAGTGTATAAAAGTTAGCTGACCAACTTTCATAGCTTGTTAGCTGACCTACATACAGTTTAAATGCTAGTTGACCTACATAGAGTTTTGCTGACCTACATTAGAATATTTAAATGTCAGCGTCTACCACTGGGCCTTTGCAGCTAAACTTACAGCAACGAGTAGGGTGGGACCATTACAGCTAAACTTACAGCCACGAGTAGGGTGGGACCATTACAGCTAAACTTACAGCCACCAGTAGGGTGGGACCATTACAGCTAAACTTACAGCCACGAGTAGGGTGGGACCATTACAGCTAAACTTACAGCCACGAGTAGGGTGGGACCATTACAGCTAAACTTACAGCCACCAGTAGGGTGGGACCATTACAGCTAAACTTACAGCCACGAGTAGGGTGGGACCATTACAGCTAAACTTACAGCCACGAGTAGGGTGGGACCATTACAGCTAAACTTACAGCCACCAGTAGGGTGGGACCATTACAGCTAAACTTACAGCCACGAGTAGGGTGAGACCATTACATACAGCTATACTTACAGCCACGAGTAGGGTGGGACCATTACAGCTAAACTTACAGCCACCAGTAGGGTGGGACCATTACAGCTAAACTTACAGCAACGAGTAGGGTGGGACCATTACAGCTATACTTACAGCCACGAGTAGGGTGAGACCATTACAGCTAAACTTACAGCCAAAAGTAGGGTGAGACCATTACAGCTATACTTACAGCCATGAGTAGGGTGAGACCATTACAGTTCTACTTACAGCCACGAGTAGGGTGAGACCATTACAGCTAAACTTACAGCCACCAGTAGGGTGGGACCATTACAGCTATACTTACAGCCACGAGTAGGGTGAGACCATTACAGCTAAACTTACAGCCAAAAGTAGGGTGAGACCATTACAGCTATACTTACAGCCATGAGTAGGGTGAGACCATTACAGTTCTACTTACAGCCACGAGTAGGGTGAGACCATTACATACAGCTATACTTACAGCCACGAGTAGGGTGAGGCCATTAAATACAGCTATACTTACAGCCACGAGTAGGGTGGGACCATTACAGCTATACTTACAGCAACGAGTAGGGTGAGACCATTACAGCTATACTTACAGCCACGTGTAGGGTGAGACCATTACAGCTAAACTTACAGCCACGTGTAGGGTGAGACCATTACAGCTAAACTTACAGCCACGTGTAGGGTGAGACCATTACAGCTAAACTTACAGCCACGTGTAGGGTGAGACCATTACAGCTGTACTTACAGCCACGAGTAGGGTGAGACCATTACAGTTCTACTTACAGCCACGAGTAGGGTGAGACCATTACATACAGCTATACTTACAGCCACGAGTAGGGTGAGACCATTACATACAGCTATACTTACAGCCACGAGTAGGGTGGGACCATTACAGCTATACTTACAGCAACGAGTAGGGTGAGACCATTACAGCTAAACTTACAGCCACGTGTAGGGTGAGACCATTACAGCTAAACTTACAGCCACGTGTAGGGTGAGACCATTACAGCTATACTTACAGCCACGAGTAGGATTAGACCTTGGTCTTCGTCTCCCGCTCCTCAACAATGGCCGAGGCGGTGAAGCTGAAGATGCCGATAAACATCATAGGATAGATCAAGGTGTAGTCCAAGAACAAGTCTCGCACCAGCAGGTGGTCAAGCTCGCTGGGCATTCTCTGCACGTGGACCTCCGGCAGCTGGTACGGTTCGTGCTGTTGCTGCTTCCTCCAGTAGTTGATGAAGATGCGGGTCAGCTGGTACGGTGCTTGCTGTTGCTGCTTCCTCCAGTAGTTGATGAAGATGTGGGTCAGCTGGTACGGTGCTTGCTGTTGCTGCTTTCTCCAGTAGTTGATGAAGATGTGGGTCAGCTGGTACGGTGCTTGCTGTTGCTGCTTCCTCCAGTAGTTGATGAAGATGCGGGTCAGCTGGTACGGTGCTTGCTGTTGCTGCTTTCTCCAGTAGTTGATGAAGATGTGGGTCAGCTGGTACGGTGCTTGCTGTTGCTGCTTCCTCCAGTAGTTGATGAAGATGCTGGTCAGCTGGTACGGTGCTTGCTGTTGCTGCTTCCTCCAGTAGTTGATGAAGATGCGGGTCAGCTGGTACTGCAGCTCAATCAGCTTATTTCTATTAATTTGATAATTTTCTTTTTCCAACTAAATCGTTGTTTTTTTAAATATAAAATTATTTGAAATAAATCTGTAAGTTTATAATATGAGCAGTATAGACAATGCACTGCAAAAATGTTGACCTCTGAGGGTTGCGTATGATGTTGACATTTTGATACAGTTTCTTTTCTTCATTTGAAAAAATCCAACGGTGGTTGTTACACAACAACCAAAGCGTCCTTGTACAGATACACTTTCTTCAAACGACCTCCGGAAATTCCCGAAATCTCGAGCCAAATAGTTTTTTCATTGAACAAGCCGCGCCAATGGCGTGTATTTCCGTGATCATGGTGCATGGCGCCCGATAAGCGAAACAACACAAATCAAGGATAAAAACATCATAATATTATATCGAAGAAGGAACAACTGGTTGGGTAAACTATTTAATTAGGCACGAATGCTGGATTCTTTAAAACTCAGTTGCTAAAATATTATAAACACATTACGCTAAGGCTTTTAATCCATTGCAGAAATGCTTCTCATTGGTTGTATAGAATAAAAAAATAATTCATAAAAAACGTTTTAATAACAAGCTTTAATGTTATAATGCACTAAAAAGTAGAAAATAAACTATAGACTACTATTTAAATAACTATAAAGAAAAGCGTGGGTCACTTTAGTATCTATTGGATACCTTTACTATGCTAGAGGAATAAATCTATAGGCCCACCAAAAAATTTTTTACCGCCCCCCCCCCCCCCCCCCCGAACGAAATGAAATTTATATAATTTATATAGAAAATATATACTTTTAACAGTGTCCGCCCCCCCCCCGAAGAAAGTTTTACCGCCCCCCCCCCCCCCGAAGTTTACCGCCCCCCCCCCCCGAAAATTTCAAGTGCCCCCCCCCCCCCCCCGGAGAAAAAAGTCTGGAAGAAACACTGCGCAGAAGGATAATAAAGGGAATAATAAAGGCGGCTGGCAGTGGCGTAGCCAGGATCGTCTCAAGGGGGGGGGGGGGGGGGGGGGGGGTTCGATTTGCACCCCCCCTCAAACTTTCGATTTGCACCATCCCCCTCAAACTTTCGATTTGCACCCCCCCTCAAACTTTCGATTTGCTGCTCCCCCCCCCCCCCCCCTCAAACTTTCGATTTGCACCCCCCCCCCTCAAACTTTCGATTTGCACCACCCCCTCAAACTTTCGATTTGCACCCCCCCCCCTCAAACTTTCGATTTGCTGCCCCCTCCCCCCCACCCCTCAAACTTTCGATTTGCACCCCCCCCCCTCAAACTTTCGATTTGCACCCCCCCCCCCCTCAAACTTTAGATTTGCACCCCCCCTCAAACTTTCGATTTGCACCCGCCTCATACTTTTTATATATATACCGGGGTCTATTAGGGGGGGGGGGGTTATGACCCCCCCCCCCCCACCCCTGCCTACGCTGACCAAATGAAAACAAATTATTTGGTATAATTTTCTAGATTTTTATGTCGACAACTCTGGTTACAAGACGTGAACTCATGGAGAAAATGTTCAAGTTTGCTCTGCTCATCTGCCTTGGTTTTCTACCCGGTAAGTTAAACCTCGCCATAATTCTAGCCCAGCCCTATAAGTTAAACCTCGCCATAATTCTAGCCCAGCCCTATAAGTTAAACCTTGCCATAATTCTAGCCCAGCCCTATAAGTTAAACCTCGCCATAATTCTAGCCCAGCTCTATAAGTTAAACCTCGCTATAATTCTAGCCCAGCCCTATAAGTTAAACCTCGCCATAATTCTAGCCCAGCCCTATAAGTTAAACCTCGCCATAATTCTAGCCCTGCCCTATAAGTTAAACCTCGCCATAATTCTAGCCCAGCCCTATAAGTTAAACCTCGCCATAATTCTAGCCCAGCTCTATATGATAAACCTTGCCATAATTCTAGCCCAGCCCTATAAGTTAAACCTCGCCATAATTCTAGCCCAGCCCTATAAGTTAAACCTCGCCATAATTCTAGCCCAGCCCTATACGTTAAACCTCGCGATAATTCTAGCCCAGCCCTATAAGTTAAACCTCGCCATAATTCTAGTCCTGCCCTAAAAGTATTTGATGTTGTTATACCCAGATGCTGTACTTAGCTCTGGTTCCCTTGAACTGAGTATTTGATGTTGTTATACCCAGATGCTGTACTTAGCTCTGGTTCCCTTCAACTGAGTATTTGATGTTGTTATACCCAGATGCTGTACTTAGCTCTGGTTCCCTTGAACTGAGTATTTGATGTTGTTATACCCAGATGCTGTACTTAGCTCTGGTTCCCTTCAACTGAGTATTTGATGTTGTTATACACAGATGTCGTCAGTAGCACTGGTTCCCTTGATCTGAGTATTGTCGGCTATGAGAAAAAATGGACGAACGACGCCAACTGCAAGAACACTGGCTTTGTAATGGGGACATTTGCAGACAGAGCTGCACACGAGGAGGGCAGGTGCACCCACGACACTTTGTTTCAATCTAATTCAAGTGCGGACTGTAGCCAATCGTCATCATGGCAAGAGGTGGGTAGCCATTTGTAACATTTCTAGTTGGCGTGTTTGTGACATTTCTAGTTGGCGTGTTTGTGTCTTTTCTACTTGGCGTGTTTGTGATATTTCTAGTTGGCGTGTTTGTGACATTTCTAGTTGGCGTGTTTGTGACATTTCTACTTGGCGTGTTTGTGATATTTCTAGTTGGCGTGTTTGTGATATTTCTAGTTGGCGTGTTTGTGACATTTCTTGTTGGCGTGTTTGTGATATTTCTACTTGGCGTGTTTGTGATATTTCTACTTGGCGTGTTTGGGATATTTCTAGTTGGCGTGTTTGAGACATTTCTAGTTTTTGTGTTTGTAACATTTCTAGTTGGTGTGTTTGTAACATTTCTAGTTAGTGTGTTTGTGACATTTCTACTTGGCGTGTTTGTGATATTTCTAGTTGGCGTGTTTGTGATATTTCTAGTTGGCGTGTTTGTGACATTTCTAGTTAGTGTTTTTGTGACATTTCTAGTTAGTGTGTTTGTGACATTTCTAGTTAGTGTGTTTGTGACATTTGTATTTGGCGTGTTTGGCTAATGCTTTGTGCTCACAAAAATTCAAGTTTCCTTGTATAACTAGAAATCATAACCATAATCCTACCTTTAATCCTACCTTTAATCTTCATGATCACAAAGCTAAAAAAAACATATGCCCCGTGTATATTCTGCTCTCTGTATCATCCCAAGACTACACAAAATATGCTTTATGTAAACACGCCCCTTGTCTCCACAGACGTGCCAACTGTTCGGGTACCCCTGCCAGATGAGCGCCTGTGGGAACAGCACACGTACCCAGGGGAAGTGTTCCTGCTCTACCGGCAACCCCATCATGATCTTGTCCACCACCAGCCCGACCCTGGAGCGTCACTTCAATGCTGAACTCATGGAGCAAAGCCCTCAGATGGGACAAGTCGATACTCTGCTCTCTGTCGAAAACTCTGGAACCTTTGAGGATAGAGCTGCGCGCAAAGAGAGCAGCTGCATCCAGGTCACACCATTTGTGTAAGTGAATCCTAAAAAGGTATTGATAACATTTGCGACATTGTTTGTAGCAGAAGAATAATATCTTCAATGTAATGTCTATTTATTTATTGTGTTGTAGTATAATAGATTTCTTTAAGTAATGCAGACCTATTTTAGTAAACCTAAAAATGTTATATTATTAGTCAATGTTAACGGCTTTACAGTTTATGATCGTATACAAATAGGCAACCATTCAGCTTAAATTATCAGTAAAAGCTACGGTCCAATCTATTAGCAGTTTATGTTTGAAAATCCATTTCCCTCTGCCGGTTAAAGATTCTGTTTTATTTCGATTTCGGCTCTTGCCTGTTCTTGTACTGTTGTTCTTCACGATATAATTGTCTCCTTTCTGCTTTCCTCTTCTCTACGGTATGTCTGTTGTTGTTTTGTGTTTTGCCACAGTCTGTATTGGGCATGTTGCTTGTGAGATAGTAGCAGATGTTCTCAGGAAAATGTAAAAACCTCCAGCATCTTGCTGAAATATCCCATGATTCCTTTGCCTTTGTTAGGTTCAGATTGGTTATGATTTAAGGGAAAACACGGAAACACACGTAGTATTATTTAGAGTTTTTGCCTACTCTTTTCGATACTAACGAAAATAAATAGTCAATTATTTACCTTAAACATGCATTATTTCGTAAACACTGAAAATAAATGTATACTTTTTATACAGGTATCTGTCAGCGGCAATAATTTATCTGTATGGGAAAAGTCCTCTCATGATGGTAAGCCATTTTTCTTGCATCGCTAAACTAAGCCATCCCCTCCCCTTCACTCCCGATGATATATATGTTATTTTTCTCTTATATACATATTAATGATATATAAATGTATCCCACAGTCATTGGTCCTGTTTCAACAATTTCTTGTGAATGCTGATGCACGTTTCTCGTTAACAGACCTAACTGTGGAAGAAAAACTTAAAATAATTACAGGAAGGTGGGATACGTGTTTGAAGGATAGGGAAACATGTTGGAAGGAGAGTGAAAACAAAAGTAAAGAAGTAAAATCCAAGGAATTAGAAATAGCAGATTTCAAGGAAAAGATTGCATACTATCAACTATCAATAATTGTTTTTTTTATTGGAGGTAAATAGTTTTTTTTTATTTTAATAATTAAAAAATTAATGTTTTCAGTTAAAATATGTTTACATATGACAATGTTATTTTACAAGTTCTTCTTTGTTATTTTTTTACAGGATCCGTTATAATATTTACACTCCGTCGTTCTCTTACCATCGCCCGCCAAGAGGAAAAATCAGCAAGCGAACAGGCCAGTTCTAACTTGATTGCCCTCAATGTTTGGAAAGATCGTTATAATGCCCTCGTTATAATGAGTATGTATGTCGCATTAACTTGTTCCGCGTTACTAATACATTTTTTTTTAATTTCCAAATAAGTATTTTTACTGTCTCGTATATACGAAGCATAGAGAAAGTCTTGTAATCGTGCAAATCTCGACGTTTTACAAGAAAGAGTATAATTTCTAGCCTTGAACATTTACAAGAAGGAGATTTTTCAACAGATACAAAGTCTGACGCTGGATCGCTTTTAAACACTATTCAGTAGTTTAACTTTTTGTCTTTGTTGAATTTTTGGTGTGCTATTTTAGCAGCAGTGCACAAAGTTTCAAAACGATTACAAGATCGGAAAATGGGATTTCATCAAGCACCCCAAGATTTAAAAGGGCTAGCTGAAATATTAAACTTAAAGGCTGAAGATATAATTAACACCGCGATAATTTCATCAAATGAATATTGTGACAAATGGGAAATACCTATAGCTCGAACAAGGAGAAGGAATATGATGGCTGGTGAAACAACAAGAGATGTTGGACTAACGGCACAGCAGGAAATCAACCGAGTAATGCATGAGATTATCAATCGGTTAAAAATGGAAATTAATGATCGCAGTGTTCGGCTTGAAGTTTTGAAAAACCGGTTTTCGTTTTTGTTGAATCTAAATTCTGTTAAAATAGACGACGAAAAGGAGAAACAGCAATTGAAATGCGATTGTGAAGAATTTGCTAAATTCTACGACAACGACGGTACGGGTGCAAGCTTGTTTGATGAAATTGTTGACTTTGTGATACTCATTCGAGCTGCAGGATCCACAGTTCCGTGTGAGCCAAAAGATGTACTACAATCACTAATAGAATTCGGATGTGATGTAATCCCAACAGTATGTATAGCATATAGGATACTTCTCACAATTGCGTTTTCAATCGCTAGTTGTGAAAGGTTTTTTTCTAAACTTCAATTGATTAAAACACATTTAAGGTCCTAAATGTCAAATGAGAGGCTAACAAATCTAGCTATGATTAGTATTGAGAAAGTGGGAGGCTAACAAATCTAGCTATGATTAGTATTGAGAAAGAATTCTTAACAGCTGATGTCAAACAGGAGGTGGTGAAGACATTTTCTGAGAGAAGGGCACACCTGGGGAACCGTAACTAATTATTGAACTGTATTATTTTGTTTATATACTATTCTATTCAGTGTGTATTTATTTATATTGTATGACCGATTCTGGTGATTTCAGAAAATCGCCTTTTACTTGAAGTGGATAGAGTCCTCGAAGCACCTCTCGACGGCGACCATGGTGATGACCCAGCAGGAGATGTAGTAGCAGGCGTACCGGAGCCAGCCAATGGTGAACGTCTCCAGGTTCCACAGATCCAGGGGGCTGACTGGGCACAGGTAGTGGGCCAGGAAACACGCGGACACGCCCAGCTGGAGGCACGTGATCAGGAGGTCGGTCAAGGAGAAGCTGAACACGCCCACGGCCATGCTGTTGTTGAGGCAGAGCCTGAGGAAGACCCGGATGTTGATGACGTTGCTGACCAGCCCGAGGCCGGCAACGACCAGGTGGACGGGGATGGTCAGCGCGAGCTCCCTGCGCTTCAGCTGGTCAAGGTCAATCGGTTCGGCTTCGCTCGCCATCTTGGACGTTATTCTGCTGCAGTTGTGCGGAGGGGGAGGGCGGATTATCCAAGCGTTAGGATTAAGTCATCCTCAGAACGAGCTCCATCAGTGTCTGGGGGATTTACGGGAAATTAAATAAAAAAATAGAGGGCCGTACAGGCAACAAGTGGCCAACTAATGCATTTGTTGGACCAACGTATTAGTAATTGATCAATATATTTAGTATATAAATCATTAGATATTTCATGTTGTTGAAGTCCTAAGTGAGAATATTTTGTAATTTAGCCTACTCCATTAAAATCTTGGTTTAAAAACGTGTTTAAGGATATCTTGTATTATTATAAAATTCTGAGCTCAGTCATATACACACGCATCTACTAAAATGTGGTTTCAACCACACACACCCACGCATGTTTTAAAATGTGGGTTTAAAGTCTCTATTCGTATATTATATTCTAAATTTTAGTTTAAATGGCGTGGTCGATGAAAAAGATAAATATTAACAAAACAAAGTGGATCATATAAATATGTAGAGCAAAATCACCTACGTCACTTCTGTTTAATTACAGTTTTAATTACAGTTTTAATGAGAGTCTTAATTTGCACAGCCCAGGTATTTAGCATTTAGCATAATTTAGCATATTGACAAATGCCGCTATTAGTGATAATTGTAATATATTGACAAACGCCGCTATTAGTAATAATTATACGAACTAATTACCTAAAATTATGACCATAATTATGTTTATTTTTTGTAAACTGTAATAGCTTGACTTGTGCCAACTGTAATGATGGCGTCTACAGGTAAAGCAAATATCTTTCATGACGCTAACTGCTTATACAACATACATGTCAATAGGCTGGATGTAATTAACTGAACAACTATAATTAGAAGTGAGTCATCCTTCTGGGATCATTTATGTGTACTCAATGCTTATTGGCTGTCTATCTGTGTGTACTGACTTCTGATTGGCTAATGAAAGGCAGGGTTCTCACAACTTAGAAACGTCTCAACAAATGAGCAAGATATGCCCAATCCCAGTCTAATCGCCATCTAATCTAATTATGAAATAACCTGTCAATTATGTATTAATCAGTAATTTTTTTTTAAAATTTGAATAACATTTTTCCTTGTATTCGAAACTGTTAAATATTAACGAGAAAATTAAATGTCCTATTACAGCTCTTCATCAATGGCGTGTCTCTATCTTTTTTTTTTTTTGAACAATGTAAATTATTTTTCTGAAAGTCTAATAAAACACATGAAATACTAATACATTTGAATTTTCATTTAAGTAACTCTGCGTGGTAAAGTTGACCGTAAAAAGTGCAACCCCACCAACAGTGTTGACACTTACATCAAATCATGCAACGTGTGATGTCAATGTATTAAAACTAAATAGAAAACACTCAGAATTCAGATGTATCCTTACATTTGTTTTGTCTTTCTAAAAGAATTCCCTGGATTTACTGCTACATATTACCTTAGGTACGTTAGTAGCCATATAAAAGCATATATATATATATATATATATATATATATATATATATATATATATATATATATATATATATATTAATATATTAATATATATATATATTAATATTGTGACCTACTTAGGTCGAGTCAGGTTCTATTTTTATTTTGACATTGTATAATTCCTTATATGGAGTGATTGTGCAACAACCGGAAAATTTCCACTGACTTATTAAGGGGTCTAAGACATAGAAATTTTCCATTAAGATCTGATTGAATGATTCTGGTCAGATGACTACCCCATAGCTCAATGGCTAGGATCTCGGCGCGCCACGGCGGCGGCCGAGGTTCGAATACTCGGTGAGAAACTGAGTAGAGTCTATGGTGCCTAGTGGTCTAGTGGCTTAGAAACTCGGCTGGCTGCCGAGTAGTGTGGCATAGTGGTTAGGAACACCACTAGTGGCCTAGTGGTTAGAACCACGTAAAGTGTCACACCATAGGAAACACAACCAGCACGATAACAGTAGCTCAGGTGGCCTTGAGTGATCTGTGAGTCTCCATTTGAGATTTGTCGCAGGCAGTCTACAGGGCGATTTTACCTTGATCAGACCAGGCCGTCCATATTGTCCGGCTATAGACTCTGACCATTTGAACGTGAGAGAAACTAAGTCCTGTGTGTGCCTTGCTTTCTTAAGTTGATTTAGGCTTCTAGTATAATATTACTCGTCGCTGAGTTATTCCAGAAGCTATCAGTGTTGTGTGGCCTGTAGTTATTTAGACAGTGTAGAAATCTGTGATAGTGTTTTTCCTACATTTTGTAAGTTGTGTTTTGATATTTTATACATTAAATATTTTAACTAGTTCAACCTTGTGTTTTGCCACAACTGTGTTCGCTGATTAAAGTTGTATGTAGATTGGATGAGTGTTAATTACAATAGTATCACTAGTTTACCCTAGACATAGAATTCGAGCCCTAGTGTGCCGTTGTGTTAGTGTTCATCCACTTAGGCCGTAAGGCATTTGCATATGATCCCGAAAAAAGAATCCGGGGACGTTCACCGTCTATTTGGCTGATAGATAGAGGACGTTACAAAGTGGGGGCCCGTCCGGGATTTAATCTGTCGTTCCAGTTGTTGGTCATATCAGTTAAATACTAAGGTTAGTTGGATTTAGTTGTTTTTATATCCAGTAGCGCAGTGTTCTTACAACGCGCGCGCAAGCATAGAGTTATCTAGGTCAACAGCCAGACGTGTCACGATAGGAGGTCAAGTACACGGCCCAACGCTCCGTGTTAATTTAGAGACTCTAGGCTTGTTTTGATTTTGAAAGTTAGCGTCATGGAATCTTTTTTGGCTAATCCCACGGTTGAAGATGTAGAGAAGTTGAGTAGAAAAGTTTTGGTTAGTGTTGTTAAGGAATTGAAATTGGATTATTCTGTTACGCAGAAGTCAGAGGTGTTGAGAGATAAAATTGTTGTTCATTTCATTAATGAAGGTGTATTTGATGAAAGTTTGTTGGCGGATGTATTACTCCGCGAGGAGAAATCTCTAGAAGAGAGAGAGCTTTTATTAAAAGAAAAGGAGTTAGAGGCTAAAATTGCTTTAGATAAGAGGAGGTTGGAATTAGAGTTTGGTCAAGTTAGTGATGTCACTTCTCCGGTAGATCCAAAAAAGTTGTCGGTAGGGCAAGTGATTGCCAATTTTGGGAAATTAGTTCCTAAATTTGATGAAACAGATTTGGTCGTTTTCTTTAACTCATTTGAGAGTTTAGCGAAGACATGTGAATGGCCCGAAACTTCCATTACTGCTTTATTGAGTTCGGTCCTTACTGGGAAAGCTGCAAAAACATACCAGGCACTCTCTCACGACGTTCAAAATAACTATAGTTTGGTCAAGACTGCCATTTTGAAGGCCTACGCACTGACGCCCGAGGCCTATCGGACAAAATTCCGAACACTCCGCAAGTCACCCACTCAATCATATGTGGAATTTCTCTTTGAAAAGGAGAAAATATTCTCAAGGTGGCTACACTCTGAGGAAGTTTCTGAGTTTGAGAAACTCAGGTCACTTATCCTAAGGGAAGAATTCCTATCGTCCCTGCCTGAAGAGATACGACTACACATACTGGATAACAAGATAACTGACATCCAGAAGGCTGCTGAGTCGGCTGACACATATATGTTGGTGCATAAGAAACCACCAGTGTCAGGAAACCGCCTCAACCCTGTGCTTCCCCTTTTTGGCAGCAATCCTCCTGTTGGCCAACACGTGAAGGCATTACAGTCCAGAGAGAAACCAAGATCAACTCTCAATCGTCGAGCAGTATGCCAGTTCTGCAAAAGGCCTGGTCATCTTGTCAAGGACTGTTACAAACGTCGTCAATATAACAGAGAGGTGGTGCGTACTTCTGCACACTATGCTCTACCCCCTCAAGCAGCCAGTTCAACTATGAACTCTAGAATTCTAAAGGACTCTAACCCTAAGTGTCCGCAAGAAGGTAGTCAAGTCTCCACACATTATGTGCAGTCACATTTTGACTGTTCTCGCCACCATCCAGTTTCTTCCGAGTCTACCGATCTCGAGGGATCGAGAAAAGTTGACTTTTCATCTTTTATTGCCGAAGCCATCATTAGCAAACCAGGTGATCCGTTGTCTCAGCGGAATATCACCGTCCTAAGAGACACAGGAGCGTCACAATCACTCCTTTTGAAAAGTTCAATGGACATTACACCTGAGACGAACACCGGAAGGATTTCCATTATCCAGGGAGTGGGGACAAAATCTACTGTAGTCCCTCTACACAAGTTTGCCCTGAAACATCATCTCGTCGAAGGTGAGGTCATTTTAGGTGTGATAGATAGTATTCCTGTCCCAGGAGTACACCTACTTCTAGGGAATGACCTTGCGGGAAGCAAAGTATACCCCTGTACGGTTTCAGACCCTTTGTCAACAGTTCCAGATAATGATAATGAACTGTATCCTGCATGCGCGGTGACAAGAAGCCAAACCAAACAATTGGCTGACATAACGTCTGAACCACACCTACCATCATCGTCAAGAAATTCGACTCCCAAATTGGAGTCTATGCTTCCAGAAAACACAAGTCTGGGCTTACCCCTGAGGATATCTCAGGAAGACATCATTAAAGCTCAACAAGTCGACGCAGAACTCAAAGCAACGGTCGAAAAATCTCTATCATCTGACGATGGAGAATATTTCTCCGAGAACGGCCTCTTCTTTCGTCGCGCTATACCAGTGATTGCCTCACCAGCCGAACCATGGTTGGGTAGAAACCAGCTGTGGGTCCCTCCACCTTATCGGCATGAAATACTTAAGCTGGCACATGACCATCCAATGTCAGCGCACCCAGGAGTCACTAAAACGACGGCGAAGATCAAAGAACTGTTCTTTTGGCCCAGAATGAGAAAAGATGTGTCGCGTTACTGCAGAAGTTGCTCGAACTGTCAGTTGGCCGGAAAGCCAAACCAGACAATTCCTAGGGCCCCTTTGAGTCCGATTCCTGTATTAGAAGAACCCTTTTCAAAAATCGTCATGGACTGTGTAGGTCCCTTGCCTAAAACCAAGGCGGGCAACGAGTACCTACTTACCTTTATGTGTTCAAGTACCCGTTTTCCCGAGGCGATTCCCTTACGGAACATTAAGGCAAAGACTGTAGTCAGAGCCATGACCCGGTTCTTCACTACCTTTGGATTACCTAGAATCGTGCAAACAGATCAAGGCAGCAACTTCACCAGTCACCATTTTCAGGAAGCACTAGCCAAGCTAGGCGTTACCCACATCACCAGCTCAGCCTACCACCCTCAGTCTCAAGGCGTACTTGAGAGGTTCCACCAAACCCTCAAAACCATGCTAAGAACGTTCGCTAACA